TCTCTCTCTCTCTCTCTCTCTCTCTCTCTCTCTCTCTCTCTCTCTCTTTTGTGCGTGCACGCGTGCGTGCGTTGTGGTGTTGGCACAGCTGCATAGGTGCACAGCTGGAAAGCTATAAACCAATGTCATCTCAGATTTGAATGAAGAAACTTAAGTGATAAAACAAGTACCCTACAACATTTACAAAACAGGAGAACAGATGCACTAAATACACAGTTCAATTCAATACAATTTGGCTTTATTGGCATGAAAGTTCAAAACAAAAAACAATGTTGCCAAAGTAAACACACTTTATTATATATATATTTAGTGTCCCTCTTGCTGTCAGTGTAAAGTGGAAGCAGATGACCCATGTATGTTACCATAGCATGGGTGTAGTCAGTAGATACGAGTATGAGTATACACGTTAGCCATGTTATCTGTAGAAAAACAATTTGGAAACCGACTGTAGGGTACATCGCACTTATGTTTGCGCGTGTATACGTTGTCCATCACGTCGTATATTCAGAACATTATGTCGTAGTACATAACGCTGACATGAGCAAGGGAGGGGCTGCCGCAAAACACACTGATAGAATGAATGCAAAGAGCCAAAAGAACACTTCCTGTTGATGCAAAAAAAATTGCAGCAGCAACTGTCTGACACATCTGGACTGGAGAGGGGGGGAGGCCTGGCTGTAGTGTAAGCGAACTACTGAGGGGAATGGACAAGGTTTATTGATGCTACTCTGCAAGACGGTGAGTTTAATGGACTTCAACTTCTGCTCACACCTATGACCATAATGCGTTTGCAATGTAGGCACGTCTTTTGCTCCGACAATGAAAGCAACGGGGATATAATTGTCTGCCATCGTACGCTAGCAACTGAAAGCTAGCAAGCGGTAGCCGCTACTTAGCACAGGCTGACATGGGATGGTTGCTCGCTAAGCTAGCGCTAACTGTTAGCATAAGATAGCTATAGCATAGGAACGTCGGCTATTTCATGACAGCCGACATAGTTTGCACCCGCGTTCGACGTTACTTAGCTACTAGACCATACCATGTTGGCAAGCTTTATCACAATCTGAGAAAGCACGACCAACCCGTAGAACCATCCACACTGCGTTAAAGTGTGGAGTCTGTCTGAAAGTTGGGCTTTCTTTTCTAAAATAATTGCTCGATTGTAGACTAGCTAATATAGCTAGCTATGGTTAGCTAGTGCTGGTGTGCTGCTTGATGGTTCGGCCCTGTGAGCCGATGCAGTTTTTTAACTGACGTTAATATATATAACAGTTACAAGTTACCCTACAAATTAAAAATGGTAGAAACAACATACAAAAGTAGGTGGATGTGACTGTCAAGGTAACGTTAACCTTTGCTGCTACTACCTAGCTGAGCAGCAAAGCCCCCCCTTCCACCGACCACCACCAATAGCTAACTAGCGTTGACTACTAACGAAATGGTTGGCAATAAAGTTTGAGACACCGCACATTTGCTCCCAAAGGTATCGGCACTGTATGCATGTACGATGGGCTCAACAGTACATGCTGGTGTATACGAGTGTCCATCCACGATGAGGCTAAAACGGGCAAGTCTTCGTGAATAAGTTGACGTAGCGTTTAGCAAAGACCTGCTATAGAAAAACATGTTTCAACCCACTGTACGTTAATGCTGCGGCATCAGGCCTGTTAATATGCAGTGTGTCATACACTAACATGCAACGTTACCTACAATTAAATTTTGCAGGGCATTTGTTATGCTGAAAGATTAAAATATGGCAGTATTCGTAATGCTGTCTGCCAACAATGAATGTGCCGGTAAAGTAATTGTAGGTGATGTTATGTCAGGGAAGGACAAAGTGCAGGGACCTGGCATTTTATTCTGTACACCTATACTCTTATTATTATTATTTCTGTGACATTCATTTGCTCTGAAATCCAACAATCTTCTACGGTTAAAAGCCCAGTTTGAAACCAACAGCATGCATTTGTATTCCATGACTATTGCATATGAAAACTAGCCTACATATTTTAGCTCTAGGGCGTGTTAGAACACAGTGGAGCCAAGCCAATTACTTCTTTTGCATGAGCAACCATTATGGCTTTACACCCATTCAACCCCATTTTATTATTGTCCCATTTCAGTTTGGCAACAGCAGTAAAACTGTACTGGTTTGAACCGCCAGCTGAAATTAGTAATTGTGCAATACAAGACATATAGATGCTAGATACATACAGTAATCTCTGGTGAAAACAGGACTCTGTCAGAGTTCCTGGAAAACCTGGACAACAGTTGACCGAATGACAGAAGTTTCAACATGCTCCTATTTTCCAATTAACTACTACTCAATCTATCAGAGCTCCGCAAAACGGATAACATTGCCAGGGCAAAAGGATGTTCAGGATCATATTAACTGTCAAGTGATGAGACAAGAGGCTGTTAAATTGTGGAAATGCTGTGAACACCCCCCCCCCCCCCCAAGTTACGTCTGATGGCAGCACATGCAGGTTGGATGACATCACAACTTATGTGGCTGAAACTCTGATTTATGTAAGTTACATTGTCCTTCAAATGTAAATATTAGTTACTGCTGGCTGGTAACTGTCATAGTTGGTATTGTTATATTGTTCTATGATCAATTTGTCATAATTTCAAAGCATGTAAGAGATGATTTCATATATATTAGTGTATGGCACGATCCCTTTGTTACACCAGCTACAGATCATCACTGAAATTGTCCTGGAAAATGATCTCTAGAAAAGAGTGTGGACCCTGCTCTGTGGTCTATCCTGGTAAAAGATGTCATGTCTATGATATTGTGATATTTTTCACTTAATTATTGATACAGATGTTACAATATTTACATTTTTCTAACTCAAGAGGAAAAAAGTTGTCTCCAAGTATTTACTCTCTAGTTGTGTGATGTTCAGTATTTGCTGTACATTTTGGAGTCGTAGGAAACGTACCCGAATAAGACGGTAAAACTGACTTGAGGTGTAGACCTTTACAGGGCTATTCCTGCTTGTCAGCAGCAAACGGTGGCCGCCTTGGTTGAATTATTTTCTACCACAAGCAAAATCTGACCATTTGGCGGTAATAAAACATGTTTTAAGGGCATTGCATCAAATGCATCACCGTCATCCGTAATTGCAAGATCTAAGTGCAAAAGGCAGCGTTGCAGGATGATATCCGAATAATTGGTGCTCGTCATCAAAAGCACTTTTGATGCTGCCAACAAGATGTTGTAAATTAATTGTCGCCAAAAAACAGGATAACTGCTACTCGAGGGAAAGGGTGATTTAGTGCTGGCCGATATGTGATATATCAGAATCTTCCATCCCGTTATACTCTAGGTCATTTCATATCTCGATGACGATATCATGATAAAGCACATTTGCTTGTAATTCAATACATAATTGTGAAATATCCACATTTAATTATTATGCTTTGTGTTCTTTTGTGTGAATTTGATACTTGACAAATGAGAAGTACTGATTTAAGACTAAACATTTCTAAGAAACAGCAAATCTAATATGAATCAAAAACAGCTGATGAAGGCATTTTACAGGACAGGTGGCAGACATTAAGGCTCATAATCATAATACTTTATACATACGGATCTTGGTCTGAATCAACTGCATGTAAGATGCATATTCACCGTAACCTCACTGATTGTTATATCATTAGTTACAATAACCGAAGTTTGCTGTAGAGAGTAGTTTTATGTACTGATTATAGACCTACCTCGTGGTAAATTGGTGTTGTTGCAATGTATTCGGACATGCATGGTGAACATTCATACCAATTGGAAATTTCTGCTACACATTTAAATATCTGTTATTTGGGGTGTGGACAGCATAAATATTTGATTTATCTATTAACCGTTGTATCTCGTACAGCAGAGATACTGTTCCCACAAACAAAACACTGCGCTAACGCTTTTTGGTGTGCTGTAGTCCAAAAAAAGAAGTCCCGTTGTGTCGGTTAATAACAACACACTGCCTGGTTTGTGTATCTCTACACTTGTAAGGTTGCATTTGCAGTTCTGTGGGACATGTTTACATGCTAATTTGAATGCAGTGTGTAATTCGCTTTAGGTTAAGGTTCTAGTAATGTAATGAAGTTATGAATCAAGTTTAAGTTTTAGTTTCTTTATTATAGTAAAGTTACAACGATGGACTTTCATTCCGTGGTGATTTTGGCATCCCTGTGGACAAAAGCAGTCGTGTTTCCAAATACCAGATTCCCTTTAGAAAACTTCTCATTTTACTGGAGCAGAGTCTCTACACTCTGTCCCGTGCAGTCCTGGTTCTGGTTCTCCCGGGCCTTTCTTCCCTCGATACGGCCTGGGCTTCTAGCAGCGTGCTGTTGGTGTCAGAGGAGGAGGAGCTGCTGCCGGGCGCTGAGCTCTCCACCTCCCACCGGAGCTCCGACTGTTGGGAAGTCGAATCTTTAGAGGCATCAATATTACATATAGACGGTTTCTAACCAGTGTAGCGTAAGTTAAATCAACATACAACATTAAAACGACAGAACAATCTTCTCTCCCGCCCGCCTCGTAATTCCGATCCCAATAACATGGCGTCGTATTTACACATGGGTCAACCGGGTACCCTTTCAACTAGTTACTCTCATTTGGATGCATCAGTCTTTGCTTGTAGTGGATGCAGATGTTGTAAATGGAAAGATACGGTTTGCCTGTCCTTGTGGACATTACTGTAATCTCTTTTTCTTCATCTAAAATCCCAGAACATACACTCCACCATTTTGCCATCTCTTAGCCTGGAGCAACACCTTACAACCTTACAAAGAAAGACATGACTCCTGGGATCGTGGCAAAGTTACTTCACTGCACTGTACAGTAGTGTGTGTATTTCTGTTGACTATGAATACGTTGTTGGAAAAGTATAAATAAAACAATGAGGGGCTCATGTCTTGTGTCGATAAGCATGCGAGTAGGCTGAAATGAAAGATGAGCATTTTATTGTTTTCCAGTTGTTTAAAAGAATAAGAGGACACACCCAAAGGCTAAGCATACAATATTTAGCTCTGCATACTGAGCCTTTTATTCTTACACTAGCAATGTTCCTCACGTCATACCTTTCCCCTTTGTATCAGAATTTAGTCTATTTTTTATCTCTTTCTTTACTATCTGTTTGAAATTGCTCTCCCAACCTTTGCTTGTTAAGCAGTTCTGATCCGGGTCTGGTCTGCCCCACATGCTCTTTTTCAAAGTATGTGAAATGCTGCTGATGTTGAAGAAAGCATACAATGCTTGCTGACTTTGATTTTTCTTTTTCGTTTCTTTTTGAGTAACGAGCCTTAGTTTTATCGGCTTTAGGTGATGTCGTACTGCCAGAGTTTTGCTGACCGTAACTATCACAATGTACTTGTATGTGCTTGTATGGAATCGTTGAGTTGAGTTTAAACGTTTTCAGTTTTTTCCCCATGTGAGCCAAGCATGTGACCCTCACCCAGCATGTGCATCTCAACTACTGAGCATACATTCTTTGGCTCCCCTTCAACTTGGCTCCATTCAGAGTATGCATGCTGTTGGCAGCCATTGCTGATGTGTTTAGTGTCTGAACAGGCTGTATGTGAAAGGCTGGTAATGGGGGGAGTGAAAATAATACACAGTACACCTTCTTACGATTCTCTGTTTTGCTACATCTTTCCCTCTCCTGTGCCAGGATGAGAACATATGTCTTGTAAGACAGGTGTCTTGGCAAGCTTTGGCAATTGGAGAAAGTGTTTATGTAGCCAAAGTGCTGATAGGGACTCTGCGCAGAAGATCATGCTGAATTGCCAGGCAGGGAGGGAGGGAGGGAGGAGGTGCGGAGGGAGGAGGTGCAGAGGGAGAGATGGGAGAAGGGCAGATGGAGTGGGGGGAGATAAGGGTTAAGCTGGTGAACTGACACATGGTTTTGCAACACGGGAGTATTTGCTCTAAACACAGAATCACACAGTCGGTACAGTACAATATGATTTCACAGTCGCTACTTGGGTTTAACTAGTTCTGCTGGGAAGGAATGGAGGTCTAATTATTTTTGATGAACCAGCTCAAGTCAGCATACTGTTGTTTTAGGGTAGTATGCCACTACAGGCAGCAATGCCTCTTCATGGGGGATCTGGTCTATCATTTTGCCAAAATGCGGTTCAGTCAAAGCGTGAATGTTATGACTTGTGTGCCATGAAATATCTTAACGTAGGGAGGGGCAGTTGTGAGTTGGAATGAGGAGATCAACGAGTATTATCCACAGTTAGGCAAATACAAAACTGGTTGCATCAATCATTAATGACTAATGAGGCTGTCAAAAGGCTGTCAAAATTGGCCAAAAAGGATGTCTATGTCCATGACACCTTGTCATAATTGGCCAGGAGCGATGCAGCACTGTGCAGCGAACCGTTCTGTGCTAACAGAAAATACCTAAACAAGGTGGTGGCTGGAGGGAGATCACCTGAAGCCTCCTACTTGCTGTTGGCTGTATTATACATTATTATAGTCATGTAATACGTGTTTTTATAAAGGGCTTGGTAAGATACTTTTTAACAAAAGGTTAACTGCATGCTCAACTGCCAAGCAGAACCAGATTTTCTTCTTCCTCTGCCAAATTTGCATTGCTTCTACCTTTTTATGGCTTCACTCATGTCTGGTACATTGTGTTCCACCAGCCTCAATTGTTTCATCGACTTACCTCTCAGTTTCGTAATAATGGTGGTGGATCAGTGGCGGCTGGTGACTCAAAAAATTTGATAAGACAGGAGGAAAACCAACCCACGGTGTCATATTATTGAGCAATAGTTGGCTACTTCTCTCTACTTTTTCCCCCCAAAAGAACACAGATTCAGTATACAGTGGGTTGAGAGAGCCAGGGGTATAACACACCGGACAAAAATATTATAAAACATACAGATATTAAGCGTCTTGATCAGTCAAGTTAGAAAGTAATAGAGGACTAACGATCCATAATTGCATTAAAACTTCCATTTCAGATCCATACAATCCAATTGATATCTAATTTAATTACAGATATCCTAAATGAAAAACCATTCCAGATATCCATAGTGTCATTTTGAATATTCAAAATATATTGTGACTAGTAAAAATGTCATGATGGACAGCCACAATGACTTGAAAAAATTATATTTCTGATATCTAAAATTAGATTAGATAACACAAGTGTACTGTAGATATCTGTTCTGGATATCGAAAAAGATTTTAATTTTTTTTTGAAGATACTTGTAATTTACTTTAGTATATCCATTTTATGTAACAGTTTATACTTCTAGTCCACGACATCCCAGAGGGAAATATGAACTAATTTTAAAAAAGCGTTTTGCGCTCGTTTATAATGTGTGGTGAATAACCCTATCATCTTTATTTGTCTTATTAATACTGTATAATAATTTTGCATTGCAAATGTGATGTTTAAAAACCTAATGACTTTTTTTGTCCTTTTCTCATCAGGCAGCCAGCAAACTGGAGAAACATATCCAAGAAATGGACGACGGCAGCTACATCGAGTTTGATGTGCCGGAGTTCAGTAACACTGTTCTGACCCAGCTCAACGAGCTGCGGCTGCAAGGGAAGCTGTGCGACATCATCGTTCACATTCAGGGCCAGCCGTTTCAAGCGCACAAGGCTGTGCTGGCAGCAAGTTCACCCTACTTTCGTGACCACTCGGCTCTCAGCACCATGAGTGGCCTTTCCATTTCGGTCATCAAAAGCCCTGAGGTTTTTGAGCAGCTCCTTTCGTTTTGCTACACAGGTCACATGTCCCTGCAGCTCAAGGATATTATCAGTTTCCTCACGGCTGCCAGCTTTCTGCAGATGCAGGCCATCATTGACAAGTGTACCCAAATCCTGGAGAGCATCCACTCCAAGATCAGCCTCCCAGTTGGCGTCTGTAGCCGAGAGAAGGATGACTCGCAGACCAGCGGCAATGGGGTCAATGACAGCAACCTCTTTGTAAACCCTACCCAGATCTCCCCCCCTTACTACTCCCGGCAGATTCAGGCAGGACACGAAGCGCGCTTCGAGCTGGCAGGAAAAGGCCGGGGCCGACAGCAGCCAGAGGAAGGCCAGTCGGACCGAGGCAGTAGTGACAGCGTGTCAGAGCACGACGCTCCCATGGAGGCCGAAACGGAGCAAGTGGAACTGATCGGCAAAGACGGGCAAGTGACAGATGTGCATGTGAAGATAGAGAAGACCGACAGGCCCACTTACTCAGATAGCTCCTCAGCCGGTGATGACGGCTACCATACAGAGCTGGTAGATGGAGAGCAGGTGTTGGCTGTTAGTGTGGGTTCCTATGGTCCTGTCATCCAGTCTGCTGCCTATTCTTACTCAGGGCTGTCCTCCCCGTGCTTTGTCAACCTGAGCAACTCCAGTCCTTCCCGCTCCATACTCAGTGGCTACAGAGGTGGACGAGCCCGGGCAAAGCGCCCCCTGGCCATGCCAGCAGGAGTGCTGAGTCATGTCAAACCGGGCTCGGACGACAGCGAATCAGCCGTGGGAGCCACCGGGTTGGAGAATGACGTGCGAGAGCGTAGCCTGCGGAGCCAGTGGTACCCCTACAATGAGAGACTCATTTGCATCTACTGTGGAAAGACCTTCAACCAGAAGGGGAGCCTGGATCGCCACATGCGCCTGCACATGGGAATCACCCCGTTTGTTTGTAAATTCTGCGGCAAGAAGTACACGAGGAAAGACCAGCTGGAGTACCACATCCGTGGCCACACGGACAACAAGCCCTTCCACTGTCAGATATGTGGCAAATGCTTCCCGTTTCAGGGCACCCTTAACCAGCACCTGAGGAAGAAGCACATGGGGGCGACAGACGGGAGCAATCATATAGACTCTTCAGAGACGACGGAGGGAAGCTCGGGTCAGAAGGACCAGGGGGAGACGGCCGAGGCGATGGCCTTTGAGGCGCAATATGCAGAAGAGGCACCCGCCCCGGATATGGAGGAGAGTTCAAAGTGCAGTCCAGAGGAGGCTCAAGCATCAAGATGTGATTTTTAGCTCCTGCTTCAGCTTAAGGAAGCTTTACAAATGTTTATCTTAACTCAACTTAAAGGACTTTTTTTTCTTTTTGGAATCAGCTCTACTATAGACATTTCTTGGGTTCCTGTCAATTTTGTGAAAGCTAGATGTTGAATGCGGAGCGTAAATGGGTGCTTTATAGAAATTTGATTATTTCAAGCAAAGGGAGTAACAACTTGCTATTTTTGAGGAGGTCCCAATAATCAAGACCCCCTAATTGATTTCTCTTTTTATCTTTCCATGTTTTTTAAAACATATTTACAGAGTTATATAGGCATGTTGCAATAATTGATAATGTGAAAGCTCTGGTAAGATGCTTGTCATATCACCTTTTTACCTGACCTGTTTTTGCACATGTGGCCACAGGAGGTCGCTTACTCACAAGGAATGATTTTTCTGCCAGTGCAAAGCTTCGTGTGACATATCCGTTCAATACCTCATGATGCAACTACATACTCATAGCAGACAGTATTTTAACTTAACTCACCAGGTTCTACCTCATAGCCAAGAACCTACTAGGCACAGATGTGTTCACCGTTAGAAATCCATTTTTAGGTTGTGTGTGCATTATCTTATTGCCAAACCCTGTAAAGAACACAAAGCCTTGATACCTAGGGGAAATATTCCTTACTGATTGTACGGATCAGGGACACAGTCCTTGAAAAATGTTTCACGGTCAGCCAGGAGTAAGAAGGTGCTATGTTTGGAGTTCATAACATTTGCTAGCTTCCTTGTGTTTTTTTTTTTTTTTTTTTTTTTTTTTTTTGGCAAATGCAGACAATGGAGTAAGAAAATGGCCCTGCATATTTTCAAGATATGATTTTTACAGTCTTATAACATTTGTTCGACTCAACACTTAAGACTTGTGTCTCTGATCACTACTGGAGATCTCGCTCTGTTGGCCAAAGTGTGGTTCTCGATCCTGTCGTCCATGTAATGGGCGAGTTACGTCCAACCGTGAAGTCGTTTGTATTCCTCTATACTCTGATGGCAGACTTATACTGAATTATTCTATGTGTAGATTGTTTAGTCCTGAGGTAGGCATTTAGGTTAATACTGTCGGAGACAGGAGTACTCATTGTCAACTCAGCACAATAAGAACAGCTCTGTGTCTGTTCACATAAATAAATATAGTATACTAGTCTGAAAAATATGCAAATAGAAAGAACAAAGGAATCTCAGCCATTTGGACATGGTTTTTCTTCCATTTCTTTTTCTTTCTGTCCTACCTTCTCTGACGGGATAATTGATCTGTGATCTTTGTTCTCTGCAGTCAATCGCAGACTTCAGAACAAGTTCTCATTTGTTGATCCTACACCATGCTGGGACATAGATGTGAAGCAAAGCTCGACTTAAAGGCTGATGGGTAAATATTGTTAGAGGGTAGCTGGTGATCCAAAGTATTGATGCACTTTGCAGAGTTTAGTCGGCGGGATGGGTGAAAAATGTGCTATTTTCTGTCTTAACACCGATGCAGCGGTGTCAGGGTAGTACTAGCTTCACAGCAGTGATCTTTCCTCCGAGAAAAAACGTTGTGAACTTTGATGAGACTCTGCAATCACATCAATACTATTGGCTTCAAGTCGTGCATGTTGGAACGCATTTAATCGACACTGTTTGAACCATGGGGATCAGGGACGGGGCTGTTGGTATATAGAGACTTGGGTTTAATTCCATTGGGATTTAAAGGAATCTGCTTTCACAGTAAATACATAAGAGGCACTTAGAAGGCCTGAATGGATTATCTTGTCATATTTAAGGAATTTAAAGCTCAGCTGGGTGGTCCTCTTTGTGCTATACTGCTTTCTTATCTGCCATCCAGCTGTTTAATACTTTTTTTTCTTTTGAAGAGCACCTGCTACATGCTTGTATTTTTGTCCCAGGTGGTCCATGCGGTATTTGTGTCAATGAATTGGATTTTTTTGAATCGTTTTACAGTTTCCATATAATTTTCTACTTTGTGTGCGTTTGGCAGGTGAATATTGCGTTTTGTTGCTTCTGTCGATTGTCAAGAGCACAGTCCCTTTTCTTCCACTGAATGTGCGGTCATCGTCTTCACTCATTGACAGTTAAGAAAGCAAACCAAAATGTAGGAATATTTAGCAAAAATCTGTATAGCTAGCTTTACTTTTATCTTTGTATGTAAGGATGCATCACTCAAACACACCCAGTCTGTCAACCTGTTCAGTACTGTACAGTAGAATGTTTCCTACCTTACTTTTATTTTTCTTCTGTCGACCGCTGACGTGTGCAGGTTTGGCAGCTGATCGGACCTCACCAAAAGCAGTAGCTGACTAATTTGAATCTGCCGATGATGATTCTTGCCCTTCACCTAGAAAAACACCGGAGGAAATGCGTAGCTTCGTGTTAGTTATGTTTCGTGATTAATGGGTACAAACTGCTAAAAGGACTTTGTGCCAAAGTTCACACCAAAGACTAATAGGTGATTTTAAACCGTAGATTTTGACTGTATGGCATAATTGAATGCTCATTTGGAAGACTAGGTTCTTAATTTAATGTAGGACTAGTTCATTGCTATTTGTAAGGAATGTACGTTTCCCAGCTTTATAACAATCACTTGTTTAAAAAAATTTGCTAAGAAGACATTAAGTAGTGGAGTCATAAATAACATAATATATTAAGCCATACAAAAGCTGACGATATAAAAAAAAAAGGTGTGCAATAGGTATTGTAATTGTTTAAAGCCAATGTAAACAAAAGAGAGAAAATACTTTACAAAAAAAGTGGCATCTTGAACTTAGTGCCTTGCCACAAGCTTTACATTTTAGATCCTGGCACTTAGATTCCTGTGCCTCATTCATTTTGTAATGGATTGAATAGAGCGATTATAATAGAATATGGCCACATCTTTTATTGTAAAGTGTTACTGAGAATGAATAGAAATTAATTCATGTCCATGTTGTTGTTTTTTCAGCTCAAGTCCTGCTCCCTCGTTTTTTGCTTTTTATCATTTGATGATTTTTTTTTTTTTTACTGTCACAGAATGGATTTTAAGGTTTAACTGATTTTGTAGCAATTGATTACAATCAAACGTGGCCGACTTCTTCCCGACGAGCCGTCGCCCCGTGTTCAGAGACTACACTGTATCCCTCCTCTCCAACCACTGAGGACAAGCTCAACAATGTACGGTAGTTTAAAGCATTTCAATGCAGGAAGGAGATGCATGAGAAACACAAATCTACTTCCTCTCTGTTCTCTCGGAGCATCTGTCAAGGGATCGGCTGCTTGTGTATTTGATGATGATAAACTCAATATCTGTGAAGGAACAACAGAAGAAGCTTATCCCCATATACTGTCGCTGAATTGCACGTTGCTCAATCACAAAATTGTATGAAATTGCCAATGGATAATTCTGTAACTTTATTTTTGTATTTGTGTCATCGATTGTGCACTTACAGGATATTTTTTTTGTTTTGTTTTTAATAGTTAATACCAATTCCATCCGGGTAGTTTATCTCTGTAGTTACCCTGAAGGGATTCAGCTATAACAGCCTCTTTGGTAGGGACCGCTTCCCCTTATGGTGCTTTTAGACTAGTCCCATTTCTTTTTCTTTCTTTTTTTAAACAAGTCCATGTAATCATCATAGGTGAATGGAGGGGGAATTGTTTTAATGCTTTTCATGAACTATCGTTACTTATGTGAAACACACCTACACAACCAACTGAACTTGACACACACTCGAATCGACTTTGTCACCTCTTAGTTCCACACAGGAGATGCATTATGGGCCACAAGTAATCAAAAGGAAGTGTTTACAGGGAAGGCTGTCAGACTACTTTTTGAAATTACAGCTCGTCCTATTCTTTTTATAATAAACTCACTTCAGGTAGTTTACAAACACTGATACAGGCTTAGAAAAAAAATCTTGAGTCTTCCATAGCTTTTCTGTCAGTTTCTGTCCACTGTGTATTATAAGAAAAAGCAATAACCTTTTTAAAAAGTGGTGTATTGGGATCATCAAGCCTACTGAAATATTGGCCTGTCGTATATCAAACCAACTGAATGTCAGGGAGCCGTTGAATGGAAGTAGGACCAGGACAATTTGATATTGATTTATTTTTTATATATTTTCTGAAACTTTGGACAGGTTGACTTTCCTCTTCAGAAAAAAAAAATATATATATATATATATATATATATATATATATATATATATATATGGAAAAAGGCGGTGTTGCTTGCTGGTGTTCTAAATGCTCATCAACATCCAGTGGTAGTCAGTAAACGGGGACACAAGAACTGAGCGCGTGGTTCAGTCATCAATCTCAGTGTTCAGAGTTGCACCTCCAGCTGTGTCGGATAATGAAAGGGATTTTGGGCTGTATAGCCACTGTTTGGGAGCGGGCTATCTGTCGTCATGTTGAGGTTCACTGATCTCCTTTGACTCCACGGGTACTGAGACTGTAGTTGTAGTTGTTCAGGTCAAGGGGGATGTTTTCAGTCGAGCTATTGCTCCTTTTTACTTTTACAACTCCCCTAAACTCTGCACTATAATGTCTCTGGCTCATATGTATTTGGTGAAAAAAAAGCTTAGAACTCAGGGTATATAGTGTTAAAAGTGGTCTCGTTGGACACACTGCTTATGTCCGTAGTATAATTGTGCACTGCTCTTCAGGTGGGGAAACAATTCCTCAGTCGGTGGTTCCCAAAACAATCTGCCTCAAGGTCTCAATGAGCCCATACGTTCCACAGAGCTGAAGCTTGAGGAGCACTGGAGACCGTGAACTGAGCCATGATAGCAGAAATGCCCCAACTCCTGTTTTGTCCACTCTACACACAACCTCACAACCCAACTGTGAACCTCAGAACTCTACTGTTTTGTACATCTATGAAGTTAATGAAGCTAGCTAGCTGATTTGTTGTATCTATTGCCATTTCTGAATTTATTTTATAGCATGAAATAAAATATATTTATTCAAATTATATATTTTACTCATAATCATTCTGTGCTGCTTCGTTTTGGTTTTTAAGCTTGTAAATTGCTTTTTTTATTATATAAAAAATGTCAATAGAATAATGCGTTTGTAAAATAAAGACGCTCATTTGGCTCCGATTTGTCTTTTGTGTTTCTCAAAAATGTATTTATTTACTTATTTATGTACACGTGCATGCAAACTCAAATGAACCGAAGCAAAATAGGCTGTAAAAGTTCGTCATACTGTTTTTGTTAACAAGGCATCCAAAATATGGCCCAATGTGTTTCTGGCATGCTGTACACATGAATATGTGATGTATGTGCAGCTGTGGCCCTCCAGAGGGAGCTAGAGCTTAACAAATACACCGTGGAAAGGTTGCTCTTCTTTAGTGCCAGGAGATCTGCAGTTTAAAGTAAACGAGAGTATATCTCAGAAGCAGTTGGCCTTTTATGACTTAAAATATGCTGTTAAATTTCACTATTAACTGTTACAAAAACAAACGGCCTTAAATGATCGGTCACTTGTACACGTTTTGTTGTGATAATTAGCAACCAGATGTCTGAAAAGACCTTTTCCAATTGTAACTTCTCTTGAGACTTTGATATTTGTTTTTTTGTTGTTTGCCTCAAGCAGTGCTTTTCCAAAATAGCCCGTTCACAAAAGTCCTAGAAGCTAAGTAGTATAATAAAAACTGCTGGATCTACTGCCAGATTTTCTGCCCAATCCTCAGCACTTTTATTGCTCTGGTCCCGACTGTTTAAAAAAAAAAAAAAAATGCATTCAAAGGGAGAACTATATTCATAAAGTGGCACCGCTGTGCAACAGTCTCCCATAGTGTTACCACTGTCTCTAGGTTTTTCCAAAAAGTAAGACCATCAGGGAGCCAAATTACTAAGAAACCACCAAGTTGTGCTTCACTGACATTTTCTTGAAATAGTTTCCAACTGTTCGTTCAGACTGCATTTTGCAGTTTGTCACCAAGTTTATTAAGAAATATTCCAATGATTAGACTTAAATATCTTGTCAAATATCTTGTCACTTGCTGATCAGTAAACAACATAATACTTGGCAACATGTGATAGGAAATAAGCATCACTCTTTGCTGAAAATGGTAATGACATGATGGAATTGTTTAAATTTAAGCATTATAATCCTAAAATAATAGGCTAAATTGCCCTGCTCCATAGAGTTTGAGAATAAAAAGACCCACAGAATACAAGGCCAGGAAACCTGAGGTTGTCACATTTCCACAAAGATTCTTTAACTGCATGGTTATGATGTATTGTGGCTCTCTAAAACAAACTTTACCAGTTGGACTGGAGTGAGTACGTGATAGGTAAAGCTCTTTCACGCATTTGTTAATACTTTCAGGATTAGATTTGTTATTGCAGTTTTGCAACTAGGACATGGCTGGTGGGTCCTTCAATTGTGTTGTACTTTGGCTCAGTCTGTCTCATACAGCAATGCAACCACAAAGTCCTTCTCACACATCTCAAAGTGTCATTTATGCCCTATAGCAAGCAGGTTCTCCTGCATTATTTGAGTGCTGGACTAAAGTTTATGTGCTTTAAATCCAAAAATAGTAGCTATATGTTTGTCCATAGCTTACTGTCCCTATAGGATCATTTTGAATTAGATAGAGCCTTTAAATATTTTATGTTATCCGTCATCATTGTGATAGGGCTGCTGTGGAAGCAATTCCTTCATCAAATTGTGTCTGACAAATTAAGGACAATCACTATCCACCATATCATATGACAATGGGGCATGATTGGCCTGCTTGGCTGTTAGGCTATGTCTTGTATTTCTCTGCTCCCTGAATGAGGTAATGCTGCCACGTTACAGGGGATTTGGGAGTCAGGAGTGCAGCTCGTGGGGATGAGGAAAACAGGTGGAGGGTTCCCACCTACGCAAGATGAAAATACAATCCTGTGGTTTTAAATTTGCTTATTCGTGGAGGAATTCCTTCTAGGTAAGAAGCCACTGGAAACTGTATCTCAACCAATAGAGTGTTAACAGAGAAATTTCAGAAAGAAGAGGAGACAGCGCAGCGAGGGTCAATTTCCTGTTTATATGTCATGTGGGTATCACCACTGCCACGCCCCTTTAGGAGTCCTACGGCAAGTCCTGAGTATATTAGCTCCAATGGGAGACGTGAACGTGAACACAGATAATGGCCGATTCTTTCGCCCCGATGGTCACCAAAGTACATATTTTTATCTTCCGAACATTCTGAAAATAGAATTGTCATTTTCAGACAGACATATCCGGAGAAAATTAACTTTGTTGGAGACCTTCTTCTGTCTCAGCAACAGACTCTCGCGAGATCTGTCAACTTAACGTTCGTGAACGCCATAGCTAACTCATCTGTGAATGTAGCTGCTTGTTAGCTAACGTTAGCTGCTTTTAGCTAACATTAGCTTAATGATACTGACCAACTGTAAGCAAGGTATGTAACTAATGTTAGCTAATGTTAAGTTATTGATAACTGCTAAAAAAGTAATTAAAATGGCATATACTATGTTATTAAAATATATAACGTTATATAAAATGCCATATTATAGTATGTTACAAAAAATGTCTTCGTATCATCTTCGTATGTCATGAAAAACTAATAAATTGTCACAAAAAAGTCATAAAAATGCCATAGTTTAGTATCCCATACAAAATGTCATTGTATATGTCAAAATGTCATAAAAAACAGTATAGTATAATTATGCCATAAAAAATACTATAGTATAACATACACATTTTCATAAAATAGTATGCCAAACAAATGCAACATTTAAAAGTGTAGTCTTTTTCGAAAAATAAGACGCTTTGTTGTTTTATTGCCTTGCTTTTGCTGCTTTGTCTGTCGAAGCACTTTGTTTTTAAAAGTGATATATATAAATAAAGTTTTTACAAAGTTATTATAGAATACCAAGCCATAAAATGTCATGAAAAAGTCATAGTAAAGTATGGCATACAAATGTGGTAAAAAATATAAATAGTATAGTCTGTCATGTAATGAAAAGACAAGGCAATGAAAATAGCATGAACAAGACGTAGTATAGTCAGTTAAAAAAGTCACGCTATAGTATGTCATGTGTAAAAATGACATAGTATACCATGCCATGAAAATAGCATAAAAAAGTAATTGTATAGTATGGCAAATAAAATGGCATAATAAAGTATGCCATAAAAAATGTCTTATTGTTTGCCATAAAAATGTAACAGTACAATATGTAATCAAAATGTCATAGTATAGTATGTCATAAAACATCCATCCATCCATCCATTTTCCTCCGCTTATCCGGGGTCGGGTCGCGGTGGCAACAGGCCAAGCAGGCTGACCCAGACCTCCCTCTCACCGGCAACATGTTCCAGCTCATTCTGGGGGATCCCGAGGCGTTCCCAGGCCAGTTGGGAGATGTAATCCCTCCAGCGTGTTCTGGGTCTTCCCCGGGGTCTCTTCCCAGTTGGACGTGCCTGGAAAACCTCCAGTGGGAGGCGTCCAGGAGGCATCCTAATTAGATGCCCGAACCACCTCAGCTGACTCCTTTCGACGCAAAGGAGTAGCGGCTCGACTCCAAGCTCCCTCCTGATGACCGAGCTCCTTACCCTATCTCTAAGGCTGAGCCCGGCCACCCTTTGTCATTGTCATAAAACAATGTAATGAAAATACTATAGTATAGTATGCTTGTTGTTGTAATTATTACAGTAGTAGTCGTATGCATGTATGTATTTAAGTCTTATGACGTCCTCCTCTTCTTTTTCCCCCAGATGAATGCAGAGTTTCCGTACCAAACCTGAGGATGTCCGAGTTTGTGGTTTTGTGTTCCATAACCACGCTGCCCGTCTGTCCCTCCAGGAGATGCAGACTCATACTCCCGTTGTGGTGCTCTGGACACTGGTGTTCTCACAACAGGGAGGATTTGAACCCAGCCCTGGTTCCTTTCAAACCG